CCCCACTGTGGTGGTGTGAAAGGTGGTGACACTGTTAAGATGTTGGGCATAGTGAGATGACCTCAGGTTATGGGACCTGCCCCTCCCTTCAGAGAGATGACCCTCCTTCCTGTGGACCCATTTGCTCCATGACCTGTGTCACCTTTCTGACCTGGCACACCATTTCTTCCTCTTCTTGCCAAGACGTCTTCACCAGAGCCACTGCAACACTGACCCTTCAACCTCACATGCAGGGACCACAGAGACCTTTTTCCTTTGCACGATACCCAGCTTCAGGCACTATGTTACAGTCAGAAAAAAATGGAGTCACACACCACCCACCCTGCGTCGTTCCCCTTTTTCAAAACCCTTGGACAGGACTGTTAGTGACAACGTCCACCTGATTTCACGCCATGTACCTAGGAAGATGCTGCTGTGTGACTCCACAGGTGACAATTGTCCATCCTGTCACACCCACGTGGCCATATTGACCCCAGAGCTGGTGGATACAATTGTATGGTGTCACCTGCCTTTCTCTTAGGTGTGGTCACCCTGTGTCCAAACTCCAGTGTTAGCAACATGAAGGTCATTTCTATTGATGGCGTTGGACAGACAGATGGTGACTGTTTGCCAACGGACATATGGATGTCACGTAGTCACCTGTGGACAGATGGTGAGCACAGGGTGACTTGTGGATAGACAGATGCCATCTGGCTGATGTCCACTTTTAATCTTGGAGATTTTGGTAGTGGGCATCTCGTCCCCTCCTCACCTGGTGGCCATGACTTTGTTTCTTCATCAAAAAGTCACAGTTGGAGAGGTGACAAGGGTCCCCACAAGACCTTCTCCTTTTTGTCACCAGGTATATGACTGGGGTCCCCAGGACTATGACACTTGTGTCTCCAAATGCAGTATTGGGGGCCCCAAAGACCACCTCATTTCCAACATCAAGAATCTGGGGTCCCCGAACCCACAATCACTTTTGACACCAAAATGCAAGACTGAGGGGTGGAGTCCCAAGGCCACCATCACTGATCCCAATTTTACCTTCATTTCTGGTAACAGCTGCATGATTTTGTGGTGTCCCCGGGTCACCCCCAGGTCTAATGGTTCTGTCTTCCCAGGTGGATCCCTGTGGGTCACCACGGTCACTGCCACATTGTCCTGCTTTCCCCCTTCTTCCCTCCTCCTCCACTACCTGTCCCCTCTTCTGTCACCCCGCACAGGTGAGGGGACCAGTCACCTGAATGTCACCTGATGACTTCTAAGTTAAAATGTGCCAAGGAAAATGTCATCACCCCTTTCCTTCAGCGTCCTCTGGGTCAATATGGACCCCACTGGCCCCTCACTACCATTGGAGGGTCCTCAGGTGTTCGGGAACACTGGGGACTTGGTGGTCACTTGGTTGTAACCATGCCCAGATCTCTGCTGCCCTTCTCAGTCTGAGATCCTGAAGCTTTTCTAACCGTGGGCTTGCGGGTGTCTGTCCACTGGGGAGGGGACCCGGGTCGAAGATGGTGACACAGCCACCACTAAGGGATCCTTAGATCACCATCTCACTGTCCCCTACCTGGACATGCTGTGTCCTGTTCCCAGAGATGTCCTGTGCAGGACATGAGTTCTGGACCCAAGACTGCCTTTTAAAGCCACTCACCGTGTTGTCCCCTCCTGTCACCACCATGACACCTTGGTCATTCTCCCTGACCTGGCACTGATGGGGTGGGGGTGGGGACAGAAGCCAAAAACCATGTGACGAGAGAGAGTGACAGGGCCGAGACAAAGGTCCCAGCCCCCTTCGGCCACCATCATGGAGGTGACAGATTCAAACCTGTGACAGAGAGGCCAGCTCTGATGGAGGTCACTACACCTCCTATCCATGGTCACATCCAAAGGGGACAGGAATCTGCAAACACCGTATTTGTTTTCATTTTAATTTTTTTTCAGTAAAAAGAAAGTTCTATAAAGTCTTGGAACATCACAAGAAATTTCCATAATAGTGGACCGGAAGTGTCCACCTGGTTCACACATGGCCACCAAAGGGATTCGACACCTCTTCTACGGTCAGGACCTCTTCGTCCTCACCTTTCCCCGGTCCCCGCACAAAATCCTCCCAGACAGTCTGAGGGAACAAAAGAGAGAGCGAGGGTCAGTGTGGGGGTCATTTTTCTTCTAAGAAGGATTTGGGGTGGAAAAAAGGGGTCTCTTGTCATGGAAAAATGAGGCAGGATGTGGTCAGAGGAGGCTGGGAGCAGTGGGGGACTTGGATTAAGACACAGACGTGCAAAGGTCCTGCAGTTGGTCAAAGTCTGGAGTCAAAGATGCAGGTGTCGGTGTGTCCAGGAGCCCCAGGTGGACGTCCCTGGAAAGTGGGGTCCACAGAAAGGATGATGCTGGTTTATGTGGAAGGGTGACAGAAAGCTGGCTGAGGATGGCAGCGAGTGTGACATGTGACCTGTGACCAGGTGGACAGGTCACTGTAGGTGGACAAAGGTGGGAAGAAGAAGCAGGTGTTGGCTGGGAAGTGCCAGGTGGGATGGGGACAGCTGGAGATCTTGGGGCACAGGTGTGACATCTTCGGACCATCGGGGATCTCGCTCCTGTGGCTGCTGTCTCCTCTCTGCCTCTCTCTGTCTGTCTGTCCTCCCTCTCCTCTGTCCCCCACAAGCTCAAAGAGCACCCTGACCCTGTGTCTCTCTTTCCTTGTCCTCAATCTCTCTCCTCTCTCTGTCCATCTCCTCCTCCATCTTCCCCATCCCTAGGTCCCCACAATCTCACAGAGAAGACCCCGACCCCAAGAAGACAGGGTCACCCTGACAGACCCCCCCCGCGGCGCTCGCTCTCACCTGCTGGTGGTTGTCGCTTACTTTGTCCCTCACCTGTGGGATTGTGGGGAACAGATCACAGGTCCCCACGAACCTAGAGGACAGAGATGGAGGATGACAAGGTCACTGGGATGGTGAGTTTCCCCATGGTCACCTTGCTGACCACCTCGGAGCCCAGAGCGGTGACACCAATGTCACCAGCCAAGTCCCTGGAGGTGACAAGATCCCTATGGGGGACGCTAGAGGACACTCCTGCCGTCACTCAAGGTCACACTTTAGGGGTTCAGGGTTCCCTTTCATTCATTATTTACACATTTTCACTGAACCGCCATGTTTTATTCTAGAAAAGACTCACAGTCTTGTTGCATTTTTACAACGTCGCTTCTTTTCTTCCTTTCTGCAGATCAAGCATCTCTAATCCCACAATGTCACCATTTGTTTAGACTCGTCTGTATGAGGTCCTCCCTCCAGAATATAAGTCTTCTTGAACTCTAAAATTTGGGAATGGGGCCTCATTTGGAAATAGACTCTTTGCAGATGGAGTTGAGGCTCTTGAGAGGAGCTCATCGTGGACCCACTCCACTGGGCCAGGCCGCCATATTGGAATAAGGTCACGTTCCATAGAACTGAAGGGAAAAGTGACTTTTCCAAAAGGTGTGTCACCTGGGACCTGAGCATGGGACCCCATTTGGAAATAGGGTCTTTGCAGATGGAATTGGAATCCTGAGATGAGGTCATCCTGGACCAGCTGTGTCACCCACTCCACTGGGCCAGGCCGCCATATTGGAATATGGTCGAGTTCCATAGAACTGAAGGGAAAAGTGACTTTTCCAAAAGGTGTGTCACCTGGGACCTGAGCATGGGACCCCATTTGGAAATAGGGTCTTTGCAGATGGAATTGGAATCCTGAGATGAGGTCATCCTGGACCAGCTGTGTCACCCACTCCACTGGGCCAGGCCGCCATATTGGAATATGGTCGAGTTCCATAGAACTGAAGGGAAAAGTGACTTTTCCAAAAGGTGTGTCACCTGGGACCTGAGCATGGGACCCCATTTGGAAATAGGGTCTTCACCTGCAGATTTGGGGACCGGTGTCCTGTCACTGTTGTGTTCGACAGGTGTGTTACTGTGGGGACAGTGTACACCACACACCAGGTAGGACAGGGACAGAGACCCATTTTGAGGGAAATCACAGCCATCAGCCACCACTGGCAACAGGAGGCATCCCGGGGATCCCTGGGCTTGTGGGAACCCCAAGAGTGAGGTGAGGCCCTGGGGCACGGGGGCCATGGTGAGGCTGCCTTGGGCTCTGTGAAGAATGCGGGAGGGGGACACCATTTTTTCTCATCGTCCCTTCACCCACTGCAATCCATGTGCCCTGGGGGCATCGCCTGGGCTTCTTGCGCTCCTCTCTCTCTCCTCTGTGCCTCTCTGGGTCTATCTCTCTCTCTACTCTGACTCTCTCTACTCACTCTTTGTCTCTCTGTTTCTCTGTCTCTGTTCTCTATCTACTCTCTCTCTCTCTCCTCTCCCTCTGCTCTCTCTCTGTGTCGCTCTACTCTCTCTACTCTCTCTTTTTCCTGTGTCTCTCTGCCCCTCTCAATGCTGTCTCCCCTACTCTCTCTGTCCATTTCTCTCCATCTGCTCTTTGTCTCTCTCTCTGTGTGTCTCTTTTCCCTCTGCTCTCTCTCTCTCCCTCTCTCTCTCTCCCTCTCTCTCTCTCTCCCTCTCTTTGTCTCTATTTCTCTATCCTGTTTCTTTCTCTCTTCTGTGACTCTCTGTCTGTCCCTCTTTGTACTCTCTCTCTCTCTCTCTCTCTCTCTCTCTCTCTCTGAGTACTTTCCCTCTGTCTTTCCTTTTTCTTTCTCTGTCTCTCCTCTCTCTGCCTCTCTCATCTCTTTTCTCTCTCTCTCTCTCTGTTTTTGTCTCCTTTCTTTTTCTATTTTGTCTCTCTCCTCTCTCTCTCTCCTATCTCTCTTACTCCCTTTATCTCTCTCTACTCTCTATCTCTGCATCCTCTCTCTCCTCTCTCTTTTTCTTTGTCTGTCTGTCTCTCCGACAGCTGCCTCCACCTTTGCAGCCAGCACCCCCCCGACCCTTGTGGGGTGTGCGGCCTGTTCGGGGGTCACCCACCTTTTGAGGAGGAGCAGGAGCATCAGGGCACAGATGAGTGTCCCCAGGGCCACCAGCAGCAGATGCAGGTGCAGGATGGTGGCTGTCATGTCCTCTGAGCCTGGGGGGGACACAGAGAAGCTGCCTGGGGGGGACACGCCACCATTATGGAGGGGACATGTAACCCCTGGGGAGTCATGCCACCATAACGGGAGGTACATGTCACCATCGCGGGGGGACACACCACCATTGGGGGGGACCCACATTACTTATGGCCTCCATTGGGGGCCAGGACACGAAATGACACCAAATATCTTTTCTGCAACGCCACCCACAAAAGCCCAAAGCCCCTCAAGTACGGGACAGCTTTGAAAAAAATGGCAAAAGAGAAAATGAACATTGCTAGGTGTGCGGATTTTTTGAAAACTGATTTTCTCTTGAAGGCATTTCAATATTTATTTATTTAAGTGCGTAATATTGAATTGATTGATTGATTTGTGCTGGGGATGGAGCCCCGGGCCTCACGTCTGCTAAGCAATTGCTCCGAACCTCATCCGCAGTCCTGAAAAGTTTCTTTCGAGCTGGGCAACGCAGCGCACGCCCGTAATCCCAGCCCTCAGGAGTTGGAGGCAGGAATACTGCAAGTTCAAGGTCACCCTGGGCCACAGAGTAGGTTCAAGGTCACCCTGGGCTGTTATAGTGAGACCCACCTCCAAAAACAAAAAAATCACATTTCTTGTGTCTAGCTCAAATTTTGCACACTTTGGTGGAAATTTGTTATAAAAAGGGCGCATTTATTACAATTTTATGTATTTTCTGAAATATGCACCTTGAACCAAAAAAATTTTTTTTTCTAGTCATAGGACACATTTTAACTGTTAATATTTGAAAATCTCATTTGAAAACCCAATGCCACCAGGATTGTTGGCTAAATTTAATGTTTACTTTGACATTTTTACAGATTAACACAGAAAATGTGTCACATCACAAAAATTATATATTTTACATGTACGTTCATATTTTTAAAAAATAAAATATTTGACATAATATGGAACATCTGAATTTTTGACAAAATTATTTATTGCAGAGAATAAGCCAAATTCTAAAAGTTTGAGTTACAACTGAGATCTAAGAGGGATTTCTCATTTATGATTTTAAAGAAAACCCTACAGAAAATCTGTAAGCTATTCTGTTAGGATATACTCGGTACAGTAAGTCCAGTTTAATATGAAATCCAATTTAACTTAACAGTAACTCCGAGGAGAATTACAATATTCCCACCTGCGATTTAAATTGAAAATCAACACCACACACCAAGGAAAGATCGATACGCCCAGAAATATGTCTGCTTTTCTTTTCCCTCTTCGAGCCGTTTTTTTAAACCTATTTTTAAATCGGGTTGTGTGTTTTTCTGTCCTTGTTGTTGAATTTTTAGTGCATTTGACATGTGGTGGATATCAGGATCCTAAAATTGTGAGAATTTGCGAATATTTTCTCCCATTCTTTTAATTTCATGGAAGTAATTTTATTGTGAATTAGTAAATTAATAACAAACCACCAATAAATAACTGATAAGTGATCAATTATTAATAAGCAATTGATACATCAATGACTTATGGACTTGGCTGTCAGGTGCATAAATTGCAATTCAGAGACTCACTGGTTTTGTATCACAAAAAATTTATGCACAAAATTGCTTTCTGGAATTTTTCTTTTCTTTTTTTGCCATTTTGGAGATGGAAACAAAGGCCACCCATTCCAGCTCCCATTCACAGGACGTCCCCAACCCACACAGCTGACCACGTGACCTCACGTGGTCACTCCACAGGTGACTCCACACCGGTGACCTCACGCAGATAAGCTCACACAGGTGACCTCACGCAGGTGACCTCACGCAGGTGACTCCACACCGGTGACCTCACGCAGATAAACTCACACAGGTGACCTCACACAGGTGACCTCACGCAGGTGACCTCATGCAGATAAACTCACACAGGTGACCTCACACAGGTGACCTCACGCAGGTGACTCCACACTGGTGACCTCACGCAGATAAACTCACACAGGTGACCTCACGCAGGTGACCTCACACAGGTGACTCCACACTGGTGACCTCACGCAGATAAACTCACGCAGGTGACCTCACGCAGGTGACCGCATACAGGTGACTGAACACAGGAGTCTGGCTTTCCCAGGCTGTGTGACCAGGTCCAGTTAGGAACGAGGCTCAGCTTTCGAGGGGACCTTAAACCACTCTATTTTTGGGTCACAGTCAAATCAGCTCTTGGCTGTGACTGGAAACAAGCCAGCCAGGCCACCAAAGTGCCACCAGCCCACAGCGGGGACAGCCATCTTTGTACCTGGTGACACTAGTGCTGACCGTGATGAGCCCCAAGGGAGGATTCCCTCAAAACCTGGTGCCCAGAGCCAGCTGCCATGTCCCTCCCTTCATCCCACATGCACCTGATTGTCACCGCTGGCCCTCTGTGTCCCAGTCCCAATGCCTGTGTTTTGTCCCCTCACCGAATTCCACGGCCGGCTCCACGCGCTCCACTGTGGTCGGCGGGTGTCCGCAACCCGGATCTGCACCGTGGTGGCTTGTGTCTGGGCTCAGGCTTGGAAAATGGTATTTAATTTTCTGAATTACCCGAAATGTTGATCTTTTGGGGGTGGAACAAAAGCAGAAAGTTAGCAACCGCGTCCATCCAAGGGGGGAAAAACAAAGGAATAAAATGAATTGAAAAAACTTCAAAACCAGTTGGGCTCAGTAGTAGACGCCTACAATCCAGCCAGGAGGATTGTGGGTTCAAGGCCAATCTAGGAGAGACCGCTGCCAAAATAAATGCAAACATAATACGAATAAAGTTAAAGAAAAAAAAGCATGAAAAAGTGGCTGTGTGGCAGAATTTGGATCATCACATATTAAAAATATCGGGATAATCTGTGACCCCTATTCTGTGAATTCAAATCAAACACAGGTGCAACAATATTTTAGAAAAATGTCTGGGTTTTTTTTGTTGTTATTTTTTTCTAAATAATATAGTGTAAATTATTTACAGTGCTATTTAATGATGAATATAATATATTGTTTGGTAAGTCCTCTTGAAGTGATTTAAATACATATGAAAATGTGATAGGTTTTAATGAAAATATAACACTATTTCATAGAAAGCAGTTGTGCGGATTTTGGTCCTCGAGGAAAGACGTGTCACCGAGTCCCACAGCGACCAGGAGACAATTGTGTAAGGCTCCTGTGGTTTTATGGGAAAAAGTTAAAACAAGCAGAGTGGGTCCTATAACAATTTATAGGGTTTCTATTGTAAATATAGATGGAGAGTTTAGGGACAAATATTGACACGAACTGCCCCAGAAATGGGACAGAGAATATGAGGACATTAGGACCGAAGGTCAGAGTGGTGATGGTCAGATGCAAAATGCCATTGCACAAAGGAGCACGAACGGTATTTCTATCCAGGACTTTTGGAGAAAAAACAAAAAAAGTCTCCATAATATGCATTAAATGGATTATAAAACAGAACTAGAATGTGAAATTAGTAGGATATAAGGAATCCCCCCCCCCAAAAATCCCACAAATGCCACTAGAAATACAAAGAGATGTCGCTTTGTGGGAATGAAAGGGGACTCCTGTGCCACTAGGGATTTGAGTCATTGATAAAGACCTTGGACCCTGGGAACAGGACACACCCCGTCGTGGTCACAGGGAATTAGCGAGGTGACATTTTAGGGCTCACATAGAAGTGATTAACAAGGCTGAGTTTTTGGGGGGTCAAACTTACCAGTGGATTTAGATTTCCTGGATCGATATTCTAGAAAAAAAAAAAAAAACAAGAAGGTTTTAGGTTTTCCAATTTTAAAAGATTTTCAACAAAGTTCAAGCTAAGCCCACTCTTGGGGTTCAGGTGACCAGAAATTTTGGGGGTACAGGACAGAGGACTTAAATCCAAGCACCCTTAATGATAGGCCGGGATGGAGGGAAGGAAAGATCTGCACAGCCATACTGTACCTGCTCAGGTGACACAGCAAGGTGACACAAGGGACATGGGACGAAACCCACATTTTGTATACACAGGGGACACAAGAGAAAACCATCCCGTCATACTGTCCAGGGACACATGTCCTTTTCCTTTCTCCCAGGTCCTATTTCAATGAAGTGCGTCATCCGTGCTCTTCTGTGCATTTCACCGTCACCGCTCTGGCCATCTGTATCCCCTTCCATCCTTCCGTGTCCCTGTTGGACATGGACTTTGTCCCCTGTGACATCTCTTTCTTGTCCCTGTGGATGTTGGTCATCCCATCCTACCCTACTTGATTTTCCCAGTCTTCCTCTGTTCCTGCAGGCAGTGTCCCCTGTCCGTCTGGTCCCTCTGTCTCTCTCTCTCTTAGGACGTTGAACATTCCCTTTGTCCCCCCCAGAGGCTTGGCCATGGGTCCCTTGCCGTGACCTCTGACCTGTCTCTGGATGTCCAGCTGGTACTGAGTCCTGGTGGGTGAATCTGTGCAGGTCTTGGCGGTGCCACCTCACGTGACAGTGTGGACACATTACAGTGGGTGACATTGGCTGGTGGGTCCAGTTTCTCTGTTGGAAACAGGGGGAAGTTGGTGGTGTCCCTGCAGTGACCATCAAAATTCCACCCCCAGTCAACTCAGGATATACAGCTCAACCCTGCCAGTGACAGCACCTGGATGGACAAGTGACATCCTGAGCAGGTGTAGGTTGGTGTGGGGTTGACAAGAGGACTGGCAGGTGGGGACACTGAGGACAGACGCAGTGGGGGAGCCCCAGGGAGGCAGGTGGACATGGGATGCAGTGGGGTGAGGCTGGGTGTGGCTCTGGTTGTTCATTTTGTGTACTGTGCAAATTCCCCAGTTTGCAAAACAAGCTGTTGGCCCCTGTCTTGCTACTGGGAAGTTGACTGAATATTCGTATATCTGACACACCTGCCATTGTGTTTCACGTTTGCCCTCGTGCTAATCCGAACTGAGGAAGTATGAAAGTCTGTCAGTCTTGGAACCTAATAATTTTCATTCTCACCTATCGCTTTGGTTTAAAAAATGGAATCAAAAAACTGGATCCCCATGGTGACGGCTGCTTCCATCACCAGGACATAGCTTTTGACACTTAACAATGACAAGTTGCTCAGTGACATCCTGTTGGATTCCCGACTCTTGAAGGTAACAGGGACATTCCATTTCTAGCAGTGTCCTGAAAGATGCCAAAGTGTCCCCAGAGCAATCAGAGAGAAGGGGAGGGGGTGGGGTCAGCATTTTTCCTGCTTGTGTAATATTCCCTATGGGTGTCTACAGATGAGGCAAGGTCTCACCTCTTGTTTTTTATGTACATAAAATACTGGACATCGTCAGGAGCTGCACGACCCTTCACCCACGTGCAGTTCATGAACCCCATTGTAGATGGAAGGAGAAATTTTGCACAGCGGTGCCGTCTGCACCTGGCAAGGGACAGAAAAGAGACTGTAAGGACCACCAAAGTTGTCTTCCCCAAAGTAAGGGGGTGTTCTTAAAGCAAACCCCAAATGCTATTTTCAAACCTGGGTTAGTGTACAGCAATTTTTCCTGAACTGGTCTTTGATTGACAGTAGCTTGAACCTCAAGAGTGAGTCCTCGGTGCAGAGACTCTTGCATGAAGGTGCAGCTACATTCTCCACCCCTGGACTGCAAGTGTGCAAGTGGGAAGAGCTTTAGAAAACACGTTTCCTTCTCCACGAACTTTGACGGTGTTTGTTTTCACCTTGCATTATGATATGTGCACCCCCTCTTTTCTGAAAACCCCCTTTGTTGACCTCCAATGATGCCCCACGATTGCCCTGTGTGTAAGGGTTCTAAGGTTTGAAAGTCGCTTAATGAACATGGAGCGGCAGGGACTGGAGGGTGGCTTCTCCTGATGTCTACAGGGATGAAGGGGGGTTTTCTGCTGGTTTCATGCAATTGATCTTGGCTGCCCAAGAATTGGAAGCTCCACCATGTCTATAGTTTTTCCTGTGACACCTTCATCCCACCAACAATGTCAATGTCCCCATACGATGGCTTTTTGGGACATCCCTAGTTTCACGGTGCTGACAGGTGGCCGCAGATGGATGTGACCACAAAAAGTTCAAAATGGGAGACTCTGCTCAGGCAGGGGGTGGCCAGAGATGGGAGACTGTTCTGGGAGAACACAATTTTCTATCCATCCACCAAACCATTGATCCACCCAACCATCCATCCATCAGTCCATCTATCCCTCTGTACTTTCATCTATCCATCCTTCCATCCATCCATCCATCCATCCACCCATTCACCCATCCATCCACCCACCCATCCACCCATCCTTCCATCCATCCATCCATCCATCCACCCACCCATCCTTCCACCCACCCATCCATCCATCATCACCATCCACTCATCCATCCCATCCACTCCATCCACCCATCCCCCATCCCCCATCCACCCATCACCCATCCACCCACACCACCCATCCACCCATCCATCCATCCATCCATCCATCCATCCATCCATCCACCCATCCATCCACCCATCCACCCATTCCACCCATCCATCCACCCATCCATCCACCCATCCATCCACCCATCCATCCATCCACCCACCCATCCATCCATCCACCCATCCATCCACCCATCCATCCACCCATCCATCCATCCACCCATCCACCCATCCACCCACCCATCCATCCACCATCCACCCATCCATCCATCCATCCACCCATCCATCCATCATCCACCCATTCCACCCATCCATCCACCCATCCATCCATCCACCCATCCACCCATCCACCCACCCATCCATCCACCCATCCACCCACCCATCCACCCATCCACCCTCCACCCATCCATCCATCCACCCATCCACCCATCCACCCATCCACCCATCCATCCATCATCCATCCATCCATCCACCCATCCACCCATCCACCATCCACCCATCCATCCACCATCCACCCACCCATCCACCCATCCACCCATCCATCCAACCATCCACCCATCCACCCATCCACCCATCCATCCACCCATCCATCCACCCATCCATCCATCCATCCATCCATCCACCCATCCACCCATCCACCCATCCATCCACCCATCCAACCATCCATCCATCCATCCACCCATCCACCCATCCATCCATCCATCCACCCATCCATCCATCCATCCATCCACCCATCCACCCATCCATCCACCCATCCACCCATCCATCCACCCATCCATCCACCCATCCACATCCACCCATCCATCCATCCATCTACCCATCCATCCATCCATCCATCCACCCATCCACCCATCCACCCATCCACCCATCCACCCATCCATCCACCCACCCACCCACCCATCCACCCATCCACCCATCCATCCACCCATCCACCCACCCATCCATCCACCCATCCATCCACCCATCCATTCATCCATCCACCCATCCATCCATCCACCCATCCACCCATCCATCCATCCACCCATCCATCCATCCATTCATCCATCCATTCCCCCATCCATCCCTTTCTTGCTTCACCATGTGTGTCTGTCTCCCTCTTCTCACCTTCCCTCTTTTCATGTCTGTCAC